AATTCACCGCTGCCATTTCAAGGCTTGTGCTGAAATGAGATTCACCAACATTTTCTCTCATTGACCACTTTTCTCTGCAGGCTTGTTGAACGCCGTTTTTGTTCGACGAGCAACGAGCTACATATAGTTCTCCATATCAGTAGCTTTTGAAGCTAACCCCTCAAAGGTGATGGATCATACTCCTAGTAGTTGAACAACCACCTGAGAGCGCATATAATTTGTGCACATACGCATTGCTTCCGGCCAGGTGACTGGACAATGAAGACTTAAGTGTCTCCGTCTATTTATGAAATTTGCTGCCTTCTCATCAAATCATTGCTATGTGACATCTCGGTGATGCATACAGTCCTGTGGGTACCATAAAACCACTCAAAAAACACATTTTTCTGCTCCCATGTTTTAATGGAGCTTGGAGCTAACTTAGTATATACCAAGTGAAAGTAGGCCCGAACAATGTTTGCACAAAGTGCCTTAGGAGAAGTGCTCCACTGTGAGTGGTATCCTGACAAGCCGCGAGGAGGTGGGCTATGTGCTCATGAGGAGACCCACTCCCATTAAATTTACTAAACCATGGTTGCTAGTAATTAGTTGGGAATGGCACTAGGTTAACGTCGGATGGGTATGGTTTAACATACCCCGATTGCATATCATATAGAGAAAGTCCTAGCTGCGAATGAAACTCGTTCGGTTGAGGAGCAACTAGCCAACCTTACAACTGCACTCCAACAAAAGAAGGATGAGCTAGCAGCACCAACGTTACATAATGAGATGGCAAATAATTAGAATCATAATAGTGAGGGTCGTCGGGGTGGTGCAAGTAGCAGTAGCCACCAAGGAGGAGCCCCACTTAACCTTGAGGCGATCCAAAAAATGATTGTTGAAGGAGTAAAGACCTAGTTAATGCAAAATCACTATTCTATGTGACGAGGGTATGCTAAACCATACCCACCAAATGTTGTCCGAGTGACATTCCAACTAACTACTGACAACTGCAGTTTAGTAAGTTTAAGGGGAGTGAGTTTCCTCATGAGAGCATAGCCTACTTCCTTGCAACTTGTCAGGATACAACTCACGATGGGGAACGTTTCCTGAGGCGGTGTGTGCAAACGTTGTCCGGGCCTGCTTTCACTTGGTATGGTAAGTTAGCTCCAAGCTCCACTAATACATCCGAGCAGATGCAAAATACTTTTCTCGGGAGATTTTATAGTACATATAGGACTATAGGCATCACAAAGTTGATCCAAGCAGAGCAAGGATTTAATGAGAAGGCAACATATTCATAAATAGATGGAGAAACTTAAGTCTGCACTTCCCACAACCAATCACCGAGTCAAAAGTAGTGCATATGTGCACAAATAATCTGCGCGCTAAGGTGGTTGTACAACTACAAGGAGTACGACCTATGAGTTGGCTTCAAAAGATATAAATATAGAGAACTATATTCAACTCGTTGCTCATCAGACAAAGTGACGTTCAACAAAAGCCTGTAGAGAAAAGAGGCCAATGAGAGAAATTGCCAGTGAAACCCAAATCGGCACAAGCCAATGAAACGACAATGGTGAATTCTCGCTTTTAGTCCGGGAGGCCGACTCTCAGCAAGCGTCAAAACAGTGACTGTTCTTTTCATGTAGAAAAAATTGGTGACCTTTTCACACATGCTTAAAGGAGTTAAGTCTCATAGAACTTCCTAGCCCAAAAAGCCCAGAAGAAGCCTGAACACCCAAAAATTGATTTATGATTGGACTATTGATGAAGATATCCTCATAGCATGACAATTGTAAAGAAAATGGTTGCATCAAATGTCGTCGCTCTATCAGATGATTCAGTGTGTTGTGCATCTTAAAGTATGAGAGCAACTTATGAAGATGCAGTAATGATTGTAGAATATAGAATTTCTCCAATGATCATTTCAGGCATTGCCATATTGCAAGATCAGCATAAACGAGAGGCTTACATTCCCTGCAACAATGTTGCATGGCCCAACTTATGAGCTTCTCGAGGAGCCAACGTTGAGGGCAGCAGCGGTCAAAACATTGGGTACTACCCCAATGAAGGAAGAAGCCCCTACTTTGCACTTCGCAACAATGTTATATCAACACACCACGAAGAGCATGAAAGTACCAGTGAAGAATTGAACATTCTCACAATTGGTGTGTTCAAGGAATATGATGAGTCTCACTGTTTCCCTGAAGAACCATTAGGAGTTGATAAGGTTTAACTTAGATTAGGTTGTCAACTAGCACACCCTCATCCCAAATAACCATGCAACAACAAAGACAACAAGCGATAAAAGGTGAAACATACATGTGTTGTTCTTGAAGGAGGTAAAAGGCGAAGTGCATTCTTGTTTATTATGGAAATGGTCACACCAATCTTCATAAGTTATACTTACGTTTTCACGATTGAGATGATAAAATTCTAAAAAAAAAGCCAGATAAGAAATCTAGGAATATAAGATTGGAAGGTGATAATCTATTTAGGAACATATTCCTCGTATTGATCTCCAACTAAAAGAGGCCCAACGGTAGAATCATGTTAAGCAGGGTAACCTTCGTTCACCAGATGAAAAAAAAGGAAACTTTTGACCTTTGGATCCCATATTTCTAGTAGTGACCTTAGTAATGAATCAAAAACTTCATATTCACAGAGGGAGCAATAAATGGGCCTGTATACATAGTATGTGTTCTTCTTTCCTTTTTTTTCAAACCAAATGAACAATGATTTAGGATAGAGTTGCCCTATTCGATCAACATAGCCTTTGGAACGAGGAACAAACTCAACCGTGTGGACGTCCCAACTAGACCTTTTGCTACCACCCCAATTCATATAGTGTAGGCTTTATAATCAGATTAGGAAAAGACGCTAGATGAAAGGAATAATCACTAAGAGTAGGGCCCCAATTCTAGCCATGAGGATGACGTGTCAAATCTGCTTGCATTAGCACATGTTGTCTGATCACTAGATTAACATCATCACTAGTATGAGGCTGCTATAAATGCTGCTCAGCTAATTGACAAATGGATAATTCATTTGGAGGAACAAACACTTGACCATGCATCTTCTACATGTGCAAAAGGCATATAATAAATACAATGACATGCCTAAAAGAATGCCTAGTAAAAGTAAAAAAAGAAGTAGGAAAATTCATCAACTTGTTACCTAGCTTCATGAGCAACTATTCTCGGCGGACCATTCAATACTTTCCCTATAAAATCAAGAAAAGAAGGGAAACACTTGAGTAAAACGACAACAACAGATCTAAGTAAAAGCTATATTTACGCTCAACAAGTGTGCATCGGACCAAGCCCACATGGTGACTTGCCAAAACGCCAACCATGAAGGAATCACATATTTTGTATAATATATATTTGTCACTCATAATCGTCTCTGCAGTTGTACGACGAACCAAGCCCATATAAGGACTTGCCGGAACGTCAACCGGAAAGAAATCAGAATTTTGACATAAATGCATACATGTCATTTTTACTTGTCTCACACTGTTGTACGACGGACCAATCCACTATAAGAATTTGCCTGGACGACAATCATGAGAGAATTTTTGCCACATAATAAAAAATTCCAAGATGAAAATATAGCATATATCAGTGTTCATGGTTGTCCGACGGACCAAGCTTAGTAATAATAAGATCAATATCCAAAAAATATAGCTGAAGCTGGCAGTGCCACGCTTTCGTGTACATCACAGTATCATATGACCAGGTTCCTTACCTCTCACATGCCAGTAAGCTGATCCCCTATGTCGAGGCCACCACGCCTCTGAATTCGCACTGCTCAATGCCTCGACCCTACCACGGAAACATTAAGCAGGTATTGCTGTTTAATACTAGAAGAAAATCACAAAATGTGCTTCGCTTCAGCATAGGATGCTCAAATTAAATACATTCCCACAGAGCATATATGTACTGCTGCTGCAGTATAGATAGGAATGAAGACGAAAATGGATAATTCGATGCAGAGCCAACTCAAACAAAATCCAAGCAAGCTAACGGAACGGGGCAGGCGTCAGGTTCAACCTGTGTGTTTTCAAGCTTGTATGACTTCAAAAGTGGCATGTGTTCATTAAATGAAATCAACACCCAGATCACTCCAAAAAAAAACAGAGGATATACGTATGTATGCAGGCTGGTAATAATAACCATGACAATGAAATTACCAAACGGAAAAGGATTATTAACACACAAAAACTGTGTAACAGACCAAACATTTCTTGAGGAATTACCAAGCTGGCAAAAAACAGTAGCTGCCAATACTAATTATTAACATGAAATAGCTTCGTGTTGCTTATGCATGGTCCCTACGGGCAGGTGCCAACTAAGGGTAATACCGTATACCCCTGTACCATATAGAGATAGAGATATGATCATAGAAAAATATCCATATTGCTGAAATATATATATATTACAGTAACTAATAGGCGGCCTAAACACCAATGTGATGAGTATAGATGCTGCAGCACAAATCAGTAAGTAATATTATTGCGTATATGCAGAGAAGGAAAAATCAAGCTAGACCACTACATGGTTTCATGACACCAAATTATCACCTGAAAGCTGAAACGATAAATGGACACTTCTACAAACCAAAGATACACTATTCACTGAAACTAGCGGAGACAAGGTTGCAAACATTCTGTTATGAATTGCAAATAGATAAATTTGAGACAGAAGGCATGAAGGTCATCATCCTTTTTCACTAGAGCAAGTTATAGGATACAGTAGATAAATATAGTACTAGCTGCTTCTGTCAGCAGCTTAAATTACAGGACCAAACAACAAAACAGATTACCACAACTAACTAAGCATTAAAGATCTAAACCAGCGCAATAGCACATATAAAATAAACTACTGACGAACCCCTTCAAGCGGCAAGTTTGGATTTGAAGCCTGAGCTTAGACACCACCTCCTCCGCCACCAGGTATAATTCTGACTAGGCCACAAAACATTCCATCACTGAGTGAAGTAGATCCTTTCTTTGAGCGTCAGGCTAGAAAAAAAAAGCAGCGACATAAAGTTGGGCTTTGAACACTAGACATTGAAAATGGGGATCCACTACACTTTTTGCATCCGCTGGAGGGCACGTCAAACGGATCAGCCATTGACAAATCATGGGTGTTCCTGTTGTCTCTGAAATAAACATTATTGCCACATCTCAGTTCAATCCGAGCATCTTGAGAAATTCTATCTTTGGTCCGCAGCAGCCGGTGTTGATTAGCAAACCAGTTGTACTGCCGGTGGTAAGGCAATGTGATTTTCATTTCCTTTAGCACTTTCGCATTCAAAACAAAGAACTTGGCAAAGTCAATACACAAAGGGACGGTGCCGTCATAATTCTTAAACAATACTTCTTTGAGATGCAGCTCAAGGCATTCAATGGGTTCCGGTGGGTCATACTCCCCCCGATTATTATAACTCATCCTCTGGAACCGGAACTGGAAATGGAGAGAACAAATAATACAAAAGAAGTTACCAACAGGTTAGCAATACGATAACTGGCTAGATAAAACAGCAACTCAAATTCTGATTTTTGACATCTAAAGCAAGCAGCTATGTTAATGTACTCACAAAGACATGCAGCCTCTCCAAGCAGGGGAAGCACTTGAGGAAATTAACCACTATATCCAGATTAGTGTAGTCAAGAACCAACACCCTCACGCTCTGCATTTTGGTTGTCAAGCCAACAGCAATCATACTCTGCAAAGACATAAAAAATAAGTGCACTCATAAGAAAAACAGCCTGCATATATGAATGCTGAATGAGCAATGGATGAAGACTGCTGCTACCTGGAAAACTGTGGTTCCAAGCTGAAGTTCTATTATTGTGACGCCCCCGATTCAATCGTACACTAATCATGCACGCAAACGTGTACGATCAAGATCAGGGACTCACGGGAAGATATCACAACACAACTCTAAAACATAAATAAGTCATACAAGCATCATAATACAAGCCAGGGGCTTCGAGGGCTCGAATACAAGTGCTCGATCATAGACGAGTCAGCGGAAGCAACAATATCTGAGTACAGACATAAGTTAAACAAGTTGCCATAAGATGGCTAGCACAAACTGGGATACAGATCGAAAGAGGCGCAGGCCTCCTGCCTGGGATCCTCCTAACTACTCCTGGTCGTCGTCAGCGGGCTGCACGTAGTAGTAGGCACCTCCAGTGTAGTAGTCGTTATCAACGGTGGCGTCTGGCTCCTGGGCTCCATCGTCTGGTTGCAGCAATCGAGTAGAGGTAGGGGAAAAGGGGGAACAAGGCAACCGTGAGTACTCATCCAAAGTACTCGCAAGCAAGGAGCTACACTACATATGCATGGATATATGTGTAAAGGGCCATATCAGTGGACTGAACTGCAGAATGCCAGAATAAGAGGGGGATAGCTAGTCTTAACGAAGACTACACTTCTGATCACCTGTCTTGCAACAGGTAGAAGAGGACGATCTGAAGTCCTCCAAGTAACATCATATAGCAATAATCCTACCCGGCGATCCCCTCCTCATATCCCTGAGAGAGAGCGACCACCGGTTGTATCTGGCACTTGGAAGGGTGTGTTTTATCAAGTATCCGGTTCTAGTTGTCATAAGCTCAAGGTACAACTCCAAGTCATCCTGTTACCGAAGATCACGGCTATTCGAATAGATTAACTTCCCTGCAGGGGTGCACCATCTTACCCAGCACGCTTGATCCCATTTGGCCGGACACACTTTCCTGGGTCATGCCCGGTCGCGGAAGATCAACACGTCGCAGCCCTACCTAGGCTCAACAGAGAGGCCAGCACGCCGGTCTAAACCTAAGCGCACAGGGGTCTGGGCCCATCGCCCAATGCACACCTGCACGTTGCGAACGCGGCCGGAAGCAGACCTAGCCTAGTGGCGTTCCAGTCCAATCCAGCGCGCGCCGCTCAGTCGCTGGCGTCACGAAGTGCTTCGGCTGATACCACGACGCCGGGATACCCATAACTACTCCCGCGTAGATGGTTAGTGCGTATTGATGAATAATCCACCGGGATAAGCTCCATCGCTATAACCCATCAATACCTCAAGCCATGCGCTCTGAGGGCGACCGCGAGGGCGCTCTGCGTCCCAAGGCGGATCCGCCGGCCGGCGCCGGTGATCGCCGGCGGGTGGGGGGCCGGTTTTGGGCTTTGGCGGATTCTGATGATGACAATGTGGAAGACGATGGGGCGGAGCCGCCGGGGGAGTCGCCGCCGTCCCCTTCCCCGTCTAAAATTATCTGCGAATTTTTTCTTTCAGGGTATTCCGAAGAGGAGGTGGCGACGACGGTAGATCGGGTCGTTCCCCCGGAGGATCCGGCTCGCGCGGGGCTTCACGCCGGAGAGAAGATCGAGATGATTCACCGGATTGTTCATCGGAAGACGGCGACTACGGCGCTTCGGCCATGGAAAGGTCCTTTACCAAAGGTTAGTTTGCCGAAGCTTACTGTTTTTGATCTGATTCGTCCGGAGGAATGGGTTACGGTTAAACGGAGAAAGAAGGCGAGGAGATCGTCCCGGAGTTTGGGATCGCCGGCGCCGGCCATGGTGGCCGCGGCGGTCTCGATTCAAACGTCGAGGGCGGCCGCGCTGGAACGGCTGCTGTGTGCGGCTGGGCCGGTTCGATCGGCTGCGGGCGGTGTGGGTTTTGGGCCGGAGAAACATGGGTATGAGGCCCATGGTTGTTCTGAAGCCCAGCCCGGTATATCTCTTGAGCCATGCACGTACGATCGCGGTATTACGATCCTCCCTGCGCCGTCGGTGGGAGGTGTTAGGGTTCGTAAGTCGGGGCGACGTGGGTATCCAGTCTGCGGTGTTCGCCGGGCGAGGAGGATCTCACCGCTGATTCCTATGACTGGCCGGGGGACTGCACCCCCTCCTGCTGCAAGTGGCGCGGCGGGAAGAGGCGGAGCTGCTCCGCCGCCGGTGCAAGGGTCGGGCCGCGGCACCCCCCCGCTCGGACAGCGGCCGCCGGCGCCGGCCACTGCTGTTGCGGGGCGGGGAGGAGCACCTCCAACGCAGCACCGCGGTGCTCCCCCTTTTCCTTTGAGGCAGCAGGCGGGCAACCAAGGCCCCACGTCCCAGGGAGCCCGAGCCTCGGCTTCGTTGCCGGCTGGGCGGGGCGGGCAAAGGCCCCTTGCACCGGCCTCGGCTACGGCTGCTGCGGGCCGGGGTGAGCAGCGGCCTCCCCCGCCGGTGGTGCATGCCACTGTGACGGCGGCGGTGGGTACGGCCGGGCTCAGACCCTTGGCGCCGGGGTAGCTTCTGCTGGCCGTGCTGGAGTGTCTACCGAGGTCGTGCATGTGTCTTCAGGTGGTCAGCAACGTGCCCTCCCGCCTCATCTTGCCGTTCGGCAGGCGCAGAACCGTCTTGGGCAGACACAGACACAGGCCGGACAGGTTAATAACAATGGGGGTCCAAATGCTCCACCACGAGGCAAGTGGGGGGATGACGGATATGATGCATATGGTGCGGGTCAGCATCGAGGATCCTCTTCCACGGGAGGAGGCCGTGGATTTGCTTGGCAGAGTGACGGGTCTGCAGAGAGACCGTTTCTAGGGCCAGATGGAGGCTTTGTTGAGGGGGCCTCAGGACCGGATAACAGACAGAGAGGTGGTTCTCGTGGATACCGTGGTCGTGGTGGAGGCCGAGGGAGGTTTCGCCGGCCGCCTCCACCCAGGGTTGATGGCCCTACCGATGCGGCAATGGAGACTGAACAGGTTCCCCATGAGCTACCACCCCACGCAATGGAGGTGGTGAATGCGCTTGCCGATGTTGAGGTTCCTGGGACTGCGAAGGATACCGAGGTTGCTGACCGGGCTGATGTAGAGAGGGCATCCAAGTATGCTCGCAAGAAAGAGAGGATGCTTTGTTACTGGTGCGGGGAGAAAGGTCATTTCATTGCAGAATGCGTGGCTCACCTGTGTGAGTCCTGTGGAAAGCCAGCACATGCATCGGGGGAGTGCCCTGTTTTGAGGGAGCAGATTCCAGCTCTTACAGTGTACGGCGTGTACTGTGCTGAGCTGATGTTTTTTGAGTCCGCAGCTGTGAGGGAGATTCCAGTTGTTACTTAGTGTCTCACTACTAGTTTGGTGAAGATCACCCAGGGAGATGTCTCACAGGCTCAGATTGTGCAGAGGCTTCATGAGTTGGCTCCGGGTGATTTTCAGTGGGACCTTGTCTCCGTTGAAGAAAGAGTGTTCAGAGTTGAGTTCCCTTCAGTGGAGGACTTGCAGCGCTTGCTGAGCTTTGGGATGTGTAAGGTGCCAGGTACCAATGGTATTTTGGAGTTTCACGAATGGAAGAAAGTTGAGCCTAAGGGGAAGCCTCTTACACAGGTGTGGCTGCGCTTCTCTGGGGCACCATCTGAGGCACTGGCTGATGTTCGTGTGGTGGCTAGTTTGGGTATTATGGTTGGTAAAACGGAACAGGTTGATATGGCGTTTACTCGAGCACAGGGGGTGGCCAGATTGCGAGTCAGTATTCTGGACATAGAGTACGTTCCGGATGTTGTCAATTGGACATATAGGGGAGAGGTATTTCCCCTTGAGATCGAGTTTGAGGATGCGGAGTTGTTTGCTGAGGTGGCTGCTGGTACTGACGTGGATATGCACGAAGGGGGAGATGATGCTGGTGCTTCCAGGGGATCGACTGAGGAGGCTGGACAGGAGTCCAATGGATCGGGTCCTATAGCTCAGGAGCCCGCGAGCGGATCCGGAGTGGAGCCGTCTCCAACTTCGTCTCGGCCTCATAACACTTTGCGGTTTGGATCCTTTCAGCCGACGTCGGCCCCTCCTCGCCTGTGGAGTGATCGGGTTGACTCTGACGATGCTTTTGAGCACTCGCTCCCGGTCTTGGACTTTGGACCGGCGCTCCGGCCTACGGACAGCACCCGTGATTCGGTTGTAGGCGCGGTGGAGCCTCAGGGGTCGCCGGTGCTCCCAGGGCCATCGGTGCCCTTGTGCAGCCGGCATGAGCTCGGCTTGGTTCCTTCTCCGAGGGGAGGGGCGTCGGGGCAGGCGGCCCCGACTCCCTCTCATGCTACTTTGTCGCCTATGTCGACACCCTTGGCGCCAGTATCCGGCGGTGGTGGTCCATCTCTGGGGCAGCTGGCCCTGGATGATGGCCACGGGGGAGCTTTGATTGTCGAGGGGTCGCCGGAGGCGCTAGGCAGGCGTCCAGGGCAGGTGGCCCCAGACCCCCTAGTTTCGACGGAGGTCGAGCCAGTGGTGTACTCGGCTGCGAGGGCGAGAGCTGGGGGGGACGGACTAGGGCAGGCGGCCCTGGCGCACACTCCCCCTACCATCTCTCCCAACCTTCGGAGGTCTCCCTCGTCCAGGCCCCCTCCGAGTGCCGCTACTCAGGAGGAGGTAATTGCTTTTGGAGGGATCCCAGACCCGGTCTCCGAGGGGAGATGGATGAGCTCTCGTCTCCAGGACCTTCCGGAGGTGGATGATATGCAGCAGCGGTGCGCTATGCGGGCGGCCAAGCTTCGTGATGTTGAGGTCACTACTGGTATGTCAGTAAATTTATCCAATTCCATTTTGCATTTCTCTAAGGATGAGATCATTAATAATGCAAACCAAGTAGGGGTGTCACTTGGGAATAATAATTCTGAAATTTCAAACTCGGTTAACGATCTATTAGATTTGGAAGCAGAACGGGCATTAGAAACCATTAGAAACCTAGCGGCAGTAA